AAGAAAATCGCGTCCCCGTGCGGAGCATCCTCAAAATTTCTCTGTTTTTTTTCATCACAAACAGAAAAAACAGAAGACATGTGTAAAAGAATGACCGACCCAGACGACATTCCCATGAAAAGCGCCGGAGAATGTCAAACTTGAGCCCTTCGAGGAATCAGATTGTTCCATGTTAAAGCCTGGGCCCCCTCGAGTGGTCAAAATGTTTCATGAGGCCTGGGGAGGGCAGGGGGGATCATTGCATGTTTCTTCACGCTGCACTAGCCAAGTGTGACAGAGGCTTGGCTTTCTGGCTGCATCATGGCGCCGATCTCAGTCGCGGTACGGCGGTTCATCCGAATTGGAAAGCAGCTCCTCGTCCCATCTTACCTCATCGGTCCACCCAAAAGCCGACTGCAGCCGCTCGCAAAGAGTGCCGCAAGACGTGTCCGCTCCTCGATCCAGCCAAGCTCGCACGCAAACTTTGCAAAGACCTCCCGCCGTTTGCAGAAACAGCCTGCCTAGGGCCTGTGGCCTGCACTTGGCTCTGCACGGGGACCGCTTCGCTTGACTGCGAAAATATCCGAGAAAAAAATTCAAAGACAAAAAAAAAGTATGATCTCGCGATTGCAGGGTCAGCTGGCTGATACGTCTCATGTCAGTCCTACCGCGCATGTGCACATACATGTCCAACCCTACCCCCGCGCGGAAGGCACGCGGCCGGAGGGAAGGCCACACTGAAGGCGTGAGCAGTCGCAGGATTTCCGGTCTGGCATTGGAAGCACGAGCCCACTCCAAAGCGATCCAAGTCGCAGTGTTGCGGTGGCTTGGGCGGCTCTGAGCGGCGACGTGGAAAGGCTGAAGGACATCTTTGAGTCAGACGGCCGCTCCATTTTTATTCAGCGTCCTGGTGTGGAAGAGGCTAACCCACCAGACGTTCTCGAACACTGGACTCTTTGCAAGTACGTGGGAGTCAGCGTTCTAGCGTGCCGAGAGCGGGTCAAGCAAACGTCACAATTTGCAGACCGTGCTGTTATGGATGGAGGGACAAGAATCGACAGAGGCGAAAGATTTGCATGTCCTGCGGATTCTGACACTGAAAGGCAAGGCTTTTCATGTGTTCAACCTTGAGAAGTGGAATAATCAGTTGCGGTTGATCAAGGGCTATGAGACCGTGGCGTCGGAACTTTTGAGAGTCCGAGCTCCAGATGAGATTAATCCGTTGTTTACATTCAAGACGGTCGGCATTCCTCATCACTTCCTGGCCTCTGCGCACTCTCCTGGAAGCTCGCGCTTTAGGGGTGGCGGTGCTCCAGAAAACAAGTTTTGAAATGTCGGACATTGATCAGAGAGTGGGAACATAGTGTCGGTGCATCATTCGGTCATTCTTTTCGCCCACTGCAAGCGCGATCTCTGGAGTGCTTTTTTCTGCGAAGAATACTGACGGCCGTTCAGTATGGCGACATGCGACGCGGGATGGGGAGCTCCGGCTAACTGGCAGCACATGTTATGGCTTCTTATCTGGGGTGCTCTTCTGACGATGCGACCTAATGATTGGGAGCTTGGGAAGAAAAAATATGCGAAATGTACACGTGACCATGTACATATGCAAAAATATCAGCAAGGTTGTGAGACATGTTGTGAGGCATCGCGGAGTGCAAGCAGGACGCTGCAGCTGCTGCGCAACCGTTTCCCATAACCGCGGGTCACGTGCCTCAATGGCCCGCAATGCGTCGGCCCACGACGCCAAATACGCTGCGTGAGCATGGCCAGCGGTGCTGCGCAGACCAAGGCCGCCATGTTGCATGGCGAGCTGCGCGCGGCCGCACGTGGCGCTGTGTGCAAGAAATGCCTTAGACGATTCGACACGGAGGAGCTCTCCGTGACTTGTGGATTTTTTCCAGCCGTGGACTTGGACTTTTTCAGCGTGCCACGGGTCGCCTTGGAGTACGGCTTCCCATCATGCCCCGCACTGGGACCGCAGATTGGCCGGAAAATGTGCGGGGACAAAAAAAACTTGAATCCAAAAAAATCGTAAAACCGAGAAATCCTAAGCCGTGAACAGCCCTGAACCCTAGAAATCCTAAAACGCGGTTCGCAGCCTTCAGGCCGCAGGATTCCAAACCCCCCCCCGTGGAATCAGTTTGCACGCACCTCCCCTCCAGAGGAAAACAGTGAAGATGACGAGCCTGCAGACCTCACTCGCGGCTGGCAAAGGTCAGCCTCACGAGCGGTAGACCGAGCCTCTGCCGTCCACCTGGCACAGCGCCTTGACGACTTTTCACGGGCATTGCTGGAGTCTTCACGGCACTGCCCACCTCCCTTGAACTTTGGCTCGAACCTGATTCCTTCCGGATTCTACTCCTCCGCCGCTTGCGCTGCGCTTGCAGTTGCTCTTGGTCCCAGCCACTTGCCCCTGCAGGCGTCGCCTCGATGTCCTCGGGAACCACCGTGCATCGTGGCCCCGCTCCGGCTCGCTACGGCCCCGGGCCGTCCCGCTTGCAAGAACAGCCGCCCGTATGTGCCGAGAAGCATGAGCGACAGTCGGTGCCAACGTCCTCCTCCGCAACTTGAATCTCGTCGTCCGGAACCAAGATAATCGTCGCATCGAGGTCATTGCGAATGGCCTCTGTGGGGTGGGCCTCAGCTCGCTGTTGACACCACATTGGTCTCTGCACTTGACTCGGCTGGCCAGCGGCGCAGCACAATCGGAGCCACCTTGCGCATAGCCCGTCCGGCGAAGGAGCGGACCTACCCCGAGCTGCTCCGATCAGAGCACGTGCCACCTTGTAAGACGAATTGTTAGTAAGAATGACCGAATCACGTAACACAAACCAGGCCTTGAGAAGAGGCTGACGGCTGCCATCAAACGAACTGTCAAGAGGGACTGCTCTGTCGCGCAGGGGTGGGATGGGTCAAATTTGGAAATTGATGCAAAAAATTGCTCCAAAGTTGGGGGCCTGTTCAACAGGAATGGGGAAGTTCTGGCTTCCGACAGTCGTGCAAAAGCATATCTGGCTGAGCATGGATGCTCTGGTGGTTTGGATGTAGATTTCTGCGTGCGCCTGGATGCTTTAGCAGCATGGATGCGCAGGTTGCATCGACGTGACTGTCTGACTGGGCATGACACTCGAATAGCTTGGCAAGGATCTGGCTACACAAGGATGCTGCGTGGAGGTTGTGATAATGTCCATTGATTATGTCGGAGCATGGATGCTTGGGCAGCATGCATGCTTCGACATGATGATTTGAGTTCTTTGGTAGCATCCGTCAGTGCTCAGTTACGCAGCGCTTCCTGCGGCTAAAACGGAAAAGATCGAGCACGGATGAGTCGCGGTGCCTCGCCCGCCGTGATGCAAACAACGCCCCGGTTCGCTGCTTGTTGAGTTGATGCTGGAATTCCGACAAGCTGCCACACTGCAGCTTTCTGCTGAAGCTGGTCAGCACAGCTCACAAGGAGATCCATATCCACTGTTTTTAACATGATTTCACAACATGCCCAGAAGCCTAAACTCGCCATGCTCAGACCTTGTGTTGACTAACGCGTTCTGTAACTTGCATACCCGTGTCGTCTTCAAGCACTCGCTTTTTGGCACCCTGCGCAGCACATCACTGCCAAACCTTTCAGAGCATTGGAAGAACATGCAAGCTGATGTACACCTACAGGAACCAGACAGGAGGCAGCCCGTTGCAACCAGAGGTATCCAATCTGCACAATCCCATAAAAACCTGATGCAACTTGAAACTGTCCACCATGAAGCTAGCCTCTCGCGGTCAAATAGGACAAGCTGCCTAGCTCGAGGAGTCTCAGTGATGCTCGCTTGCAGAATCCGCATGAATGTTGATCATCACCTCGAAACTCTGGGACTCCTGGGGCTTCTCCGGGCTGAAACATAGCTACAGTCGTCACAGGCAGCAGCCAACCTGCAACAAGGCTTGAAGCGAACATACTAGTTCGAGCAGCGAGACGAAGGAAACTTACTTAGCTTGAGGTAGAACTGATGTAAACTGCTGACGCACGCGTTATGGTTGCGTTGCTGCATCTCATCGAGCCCTCGAATCGAGGACCCATACAAGCCAATGAGGCTCCAGCAAGCCCTCAAACAGTGGGAACACTGAACTAAATGCATCCCTCCTGGGCCCACGGCTGAGCACTGTACACGAGCCGAGCACCGGCTCAATGCTTCTGTCCTGGGATGCTGGGGGGGGTGACTTGCCATGGCCTGGTTCACTGTGCGGGCCAGCTCTGCCATCTTGGGGCCCCGGAGTTTTCTGCGCAACACCTTTTGCTGTGCATGTCTGTGTTCGGCCAAATTGCTCTGCTGAAGTTCTGTGTTCTGCAACACACGACTCAGAACCCGTTCCCTGCGCCAAAAACCTGCCACAAAACGCTTAGGACCTCGGATTGAAACAGACATGATCATCAGCAGCAGCGCAATGCTCAGTACTCCTCCTCACCATCATGGATGCCATTTGTCGCGCATCAACATCATTATCACACCCACCCCCACCAGCAACACCACCACCGCCGCCACCGCCGCCACCGCCGCCACCGCCATCACCACCGCCGCCACCACCACCGCCATCAGAGCAGCAGACCACCTGACCACCAACTGCCGCCCGCCCCCCGCTGCCCCCCCACCCCCCCCACCCCATCCCGCCACCACCACCGCCACCACAACCAGTACCAGCAACAGCACCAGCGCCAGCGCCAGTGCCACCCGCCACCCCAGCGGCAGCGCCGCCAGCATCGCCAGCGCCAGCGCAAGCAGCAGCAGCAGCAGCAGCAGCAGCAGCAGCAGTACCACCACCACCACCACCACCACCACCACCACCACCACCACCAATACCAGTAGGCACAATCATCATAGGCGCCACCATCATCATAAAGGCCGCCAAGATCTGTAGCAGACTCATTGATCATCTTGGTAAGGCGTCGAAACGTGAATCCAAGAGAAACATCAGCCGCTCGATCAGCAGTAATAGGTCTGACTTATCTGAGAGCAACCTGAGTCAGTGGCCAGGGAAGTGCATCTGGCCCGTCCGGCCACACATGTAGATGCCATAAGCCTGCGGCTGCAGGCCATATCTTGGTTGCTACAAATGACGAAGAAGACAATAGTCAATGTTGGCAGTCCAGTTTCCTACCTGTGTGTCTGGGATATCAGCTGCCTTACAGATTTGAAGTTTGTCTCGCATTACAAGCAAATAAACTGTAATCACGTTGCAAATCTGTGCAAAAACAGTTGGATCTGACAGGATTTTCACAGGCCTCGTCGTCATAGCGCTCGAACTGGGCAAAGGCAAAAGGTGCTTCATGCAACTCAAGAAGCTTTGTGCAGGCGACCTCCAAGCCCTGCTGTCATAAGAATATTTTTCTCGTCCGGTAGGGTTGTATCGACTCGAAACTTGCACACCCAGAATTAACAACGAAAATCGCAGGAACTAGGGTGAGAGCTGCAAGTGACCCATTGGCAACGATAAGGTCTATGACCAAGGACCAAGGATCGAGCCGACAGCGCAGGCTGCACAGTGACCGACAAGCGAGCAGCAGGGAAGGAGGCCAGCTTGCGAGCCTGGTTGCAAGTAGAAATGTTCTGCACTGCGGATGCAAGGTGAAGATGCAAAAGCTCCAGGCTTTCATGATTCCCATCCAATCACTCTGAGCTCCAAACCAATGCCAAAGCAGTGGCTTTCGTTGACCTTACAGAGCTGAAGCTTCTGTTCACCAGCCCTTTGCGAACGAATCTGAATTTTGCCTGCTGCATGTCGTCATGTTGAGCTGTGCTTGTGAAAACCTGCCTTGAACATCTTAGCCTGTCCAACCTGAAAATATATTCGGTGGAAATCTACCACGTTGCATTCGAGAGGCTTGTTGTCCACAGCGATGCGACTTACGAGTCCAGCCTACAAGCGGATACAACCAGGCAGAGCCACCTTCCCATGCACTGGCCATGGCCTTCTGGGCAGCAACTGCGCTGACCGTCGAGTCAGTCAAGTAAATGTCCATCCTGAGCAAGCACAGCAAACATTGCTACCTGGAGTTCACCCAGCATACCCAGCTGAACTCTTCCAATATTGTAGCTTCATCCTCCCCTTTCCCTCAAGCTACGTCTGTGAGCATCTTCTGAGCACGGCACGCAGCTGTGAGGCCCACATGTTGCGGGAGGTGCTTGGACAGGAACATGATGGGACATGCACCTGGACTGTACATTTCCCTCTACAGTCTTGGTCAACTGTGTTTCCCGAATGCATGGCAGGAGGGTGGATCTGGGGCTGTTGAGCGGCAGCTTTTGTTGAGCGCTCACGTTTGAGGGAGCCATGTCATGCAAAACAGCTATCTTTCCTCGTTTCCACTTTGGATACGAATAACCTGCATCAAAGAATTCCACATGTTGAGCGAGATCATGGATACCGTGGCAACAGACCACATGGGGCTTCGACAGTTTTGTATGTGCCTGATCCAAGTGGAGAAATACCAAGTCTCCCCTTGGCGAGTGTGGTATCACTGCCTTGCCTTTGTAACATTCGCTTCCCTGATCTTCCCTACTGCCCACGCTGCCCGACCCGGCCTCGGCTAATATTGCCAAACGCAGCACTTCCGTTCTGGGCGATGACGCGCTCCGTGCAGTTCAACGACCTGAGATCGGTGGGGTTGCCAAGCCAAATGCAACTGCTCAGCTCAGCCTGCTCAGCACTGCTCCGCTCCCTGGCGAAACCCTCTGCACTCGATGCAAACCCTAAGCACTAAACCCTAAATGGCAGTTTCCATTTTCTTTTCCATTATCCCCACATAACCCCAATATAGTATATTCCCCGTAGAACCCCCAATGTAATATATTCCCTATATAACCCCTATATTCCCCCCCACTCCCACCCCCACCCCCTTTGCAAAAATTGAGAAGCCGGCACTGCCACGCCTCCACCTATTGCGTTCCCTGTGATGGCCACGACGCTTGGAATTGACAACTCCTGGCCAATCAGCATGGGTTCTGGGTTTAGTGTTGCTCTCCAATTGAAGCCAGTAAACCTTTCGGGCAATATTAATTATCAAAACTTCGATGAAGGCTTGAACGACAACAATTAGGTCAAAAGAGACCAAAGCTGCTTTGAGTCCTTCATGCGAACAATGAACAGGGAGTTTGAAGCATGAGCCGCCATTTGGTAGACCCCAGCTCCCGGAGGAGCTACAGGGTGATGGTTACCTGCCACAGCGTAAATTCCAAACTCCATCAGCACCACAACTGCAGGGATGTTTCGCTTCTCTTGTTAGTTTTGGATTTCTGTGGACCGCCCCAAGCACATGCAGGTAACTGTCATATGGCGCCTCCAGGGCAGAGATGCGGACCTGCACCCTGCAAAACAGCTGCCAAAGGTATGTCACTCCTGGCACAGGATTCAGAATTCGAGGCTCCAATACGGTGGGCCTCCCACTTTATGAGGCTGCGGAAGCCTGTAAATCTGATGTACAATGACGGCGGGAGTTGACTGGGTAAGCAACGGCCATTCTGCTAATCTCTGCAAACCCCAAAACACCGAAGCTGCACTATGCTGTCCAGACTGTCAGGATGAAGCTATGGCTGGCACTTGATGGCTGATGCATGTTGATACATAGCACCTGCCTGCTTTTGCAGCGGGTCAAGTGCATCTGGTAAGCATCCATCATGAACAAGAAGTCCGTACCTCTGCAGGAGAACATCCATCTGCACATCTCTTGTAAAGAAACTGCATGCAAATCCCAGTCTTGGGCCTTGGTCCACAATAAAAAGCCCCAGCAAAGGTGCGGATAGGATGAGAACGAAACATTCATGTCTAAAACCAGCGTGCCCGCCATGAAGACATTCTACCCCATAACAAGACGATGCCATTAAATTAGTAAATCTGACAATCGCATTGGTGGATGCAAAGTAAAAACCTGCTCAACGCGCATCGCTCCGTTCTGGGATAATGCTCACCCTCTTGATAGAATTCTGGTACCGCTTCTGTCCTCTGACTCACCTGCACAACTGGTTGCAGCCGTTGCAGAGGTTTCAGAAGGTAATGTACATGTCACAACACTTGTGCGCACGTCATCGGCAAACCTAGACCAAGAGCTGAAAATATGCTCAGGAACAGCAGCCCGGGAACGTAGCGCTGCGTCTTGGTCCAAGACACGTCGTTCTGTTTGGGTGAAACGGTGTGTGTACACTATGTGAGACGTTAAGCGATCAAAGCAGGCCTCGGAACCTGATTCCCTTTGCCCACGCTTTGCCAGCCAACTCAGGCCAGAGGGGCAAGGGGTGTTTAGTAGTCGAGCAGCTCCACTGCTGACCCACGAAGGCCATGTCTTTCCGCCCGGCTGAAGAGCTCTGAACGGCGATCCTCAGGACTTTCATGTCAAGCTGCTTCGAAACTAGCTTCATGTGGCTTACAAGTAGGCATGCGCTGAGGGGAATCAATCCTGTCTTGACAACGGGACACCAATACAGCATGATATGCTTAATGGTAGACATGCGGACTGAGTGCAGATAAAGCACCACGGCTAAAAGGTTGCAGCTGTTCTCGTCCAAGCTCTGAACCCGAAAGGCAGAGTAGGGTGGGAAGAGCGTTTCACTTTCGTTCTCTTTCCAGGATATGCCTTGGATATCCCGCGCTCCCCAGAAACCTTGTGGGATGTCAATGATCCACAGGTAACCCTTGCCATCCTCCCGGGCACGGTACTTCTCTGCCAGACCCTTGTCCTTTGTGGTGCTCTGGAACTGGCGAAAGCGGACAAAACGGTCCAAACGCTGCGCCTCTGAGAGCTTCTGCATGTTCAAAGGAACCGGCCTCTGTGTGTCACCTTTCCACACCCGACCACCATCATGGAGCCGCTTGGAGCCGTCCTCCTCATTGTACAGCAGCAAATACACCTGCAGATGAATTTTGCAAGTTGGCTCACATTCAGCAGAGGCTTTGTTAGACTAACCAAACCTCTCAGCTGCAGTCCTTCAAACCTTGCTTAGCAAATCCCAGAAACCATGCGCTGAATCAGCGGCATGGCATTCTCCAGATTGGATGGAGCATCACAGTTCAGAGTATTGTTGAGCGCACGATAGTAGAGCGAGTAGTCCTGGCCGGTATTCAGCGTGACTCTCTGACCCAACTTCTGGTGCGTAGTATAGAGGTAGAGTGATGCGTCTTCATGGGAGTCAAAAAGTTCGAGCAACGATTGCAACTTGGCAGAGTCAATCTCAAAGGGCTCACCATCAGCATCTTCCAGATTGGTCAACCAAGTTTCCAGGCTCCTCCTCGCAGTCTCCTTTGCAACGAAATCTACGTCTCCGACACCCTTGCTGCAAGGGTACAAACTGCAGAAGTTTGATGAAAGCAGTCCATGCGTTGTACAAAGAGACGAATATTCCTTGTCATTAACAGGAGCCAAAAAAGCAGACCAGGAGGTGAAGGAGCCCGAGTCTGCTGCCACCTCGGAACCCGAACATGTGATGGTTCAGGATACGCACTAAGCCACTATGCTGAGCCCCGCATGTCAAATTATCTTAAACGAGCCACTGTAACAAGCAGCCCCTCATGGCCCTTTCGGAGGCCGCATTGTCCGTCGCTGATGAACTCTGAGACGTCCGTAACCTGGCCGCGTCGTTGCCAATTAAGACCACGTTGGAAGCACACGACCCGGTCGCCGATCTCTGGGGGATTCTCGGGCGAGTAGAAGCCAGCGCGCCGTGCCTGCTGGATTGAGAAAGGGCCTGCAAAAGCTACGTTCCCAAAGTAAGGGAGCTCTGGAGAAGTCCACTCCAGCTGATCAATGGCCTGGCATGCCTCGGCCAGTACCTCTGCAGCAGAGTTGGTCCCATCCACGGAGACTATTCTGTCCTTGAAACAAGGGAGGATTGTCTCAATGTGTCGTTTGTAGGTCTCCAAGCGCTTCTTGACCAAGTCCTCCTGGTCATCACACCGCTGAACAAGACGGCTTGCCACTTGCGGTTGGTCACTGGGGGGCGGCCGAAAAGTCAGATGGTAGATCCGACCTGTCAGTGGATCGATGCGTCGCTCTACGGATCGGCGGACTAGCTGGGAGTCGGGCACGTCCACCAAGAGGAGCTGGTCTATGTGAATGCTGCCTACAAGAGCTGTTGCCTGGTCCGCCGTCAGCGGGAAGTTGTCCAAGAGACAACCCCTCGTAATGATGTCTGGCTTGCTCATCCGCTCTATCACAATTCTCATCACCAAATGGTGTGGGACCAACTTGCCCTCCAGCATATATTCCTTCACCTGGGGGGATGTGTGCCCAAAATGCCCTGCTAAGCTATATCCAAAGGTTCCTACTTAAAGGGTAGATATATAAAGAGAACCCTCATTTTTTGGACATGCCTTAATTCCCAGCTCGCTCTCCTTCTCCACCTCGGTAGCTGCCATATTAAAGAAACTCAACCCTAACCCTACTCCTATATAAGCCCTATTCCATAAAGAGAGAGAGACAGACAGACAGACACACAGACCGACAGACCGACCGACAGACAGACAGAGAGGCGTAATTTTCTGTCCACATACATATATACACATAATAGGGATTAATAACTCCTTTCAGGTGCCTATTATCCTAATTATCTAATGACCCCAAAAAGATACCCCTAAGTTTGGGAACCCCATCAACCCCACAAATCCCAAAACAAAAAACCCTAGAAAACCCTTACCAACCCCCAGAACCCCTTTCAGCTTCCTAACAGCAACCCAGCCACTTCCTCTCGGAGGAGCTGGCCGGGTGATACGTGGACCAGGCCATAGCGCTTCTCCAGGCCGTCGCACAAGGAACCCTTCCTTGCTACAATAAAAACATTCCTACACAGAAACATACATACGCCTGTACACATAGACATGTACATACCTATGTACATATACACAAATATATCTGCATATAGATATAGGTATACATGTGTACGCTTCTCTAAAAGCAACATTCAACATTCAAAACGTAAAAGCATCTGGTTATGTCTACACATGTGTGTGTGTGTGCGTCTTTGTTCCTTCCTCTGTCTACCTCCCTCCTTCCTTCTTCTTCTTCGACTGCTGCGTGCGATCCCCGGAGGTTCGCGCCGGGGCTCCCCCTATAACACAATCCCCTGTCTAATGGACTTGACCGGAGAAAGTTGCAAGGAAGAGTTAGCACCCCCCATCTTCCCTCTATTTTAGATTCGTAGTCAGTTGACAGGACATTGCCCTCATCCGATGCACAGGTGACGTCCAAAAAGGCCAACCTGCTACTTTCCAAGAAAATTTCCTTGCTCTGCTGAGGAAGGGTTGGCCTCTTGGTCCTGCATGCAAATCCCCCTCCCTCTCTGCCTCCCTCCCTCCCTCCCTCCCTCCCTCCCTCTCTATNNTATATCTCTCTCTCACTCTCTCTCTTGTGTCCTTGCTCTAGGTTGAAACAATGCCGTGAAATACTGAGCCCCATGCAAGACTTGATTCGGATGACAGAATGCTGGACACACTTTAAGCTCTGACCTTTCTTAAACGCAAACGCACATGCAACAGATAAGGTGAAGATTCTACGACCACATCAACCAAGGCACCCAGCTGCTGGAGGTCCAGCCACAATGATCACGTGCCTTGCATCCAATGAACACCCATGGGGTCCAGGATTGGTTGCTCCGGACGCGTGTGACATTCCAACTGTGTTGTCCTTTAGATATGCTGCTGCTACAAATGATAGGATAAATGTCGTGGAAGGGCCACATGTACTCCGCACGTTACACAAGGTTCATGAACCCCTTTGGTTGTGGTCCGGAGTACTGTTACCTGGGTGCGAATCGTTTGAATGTGTCACCAACATCTTGCGGCAACAGGTCCGTCAAGCTCATGGTATGTTCGGCATCTCCTTGTTCAGCCCCATTCCCGTCAAAGTGCATCTCACCCACTTCAACCAAATCAACTCTTCTCTGTGAAGGTAATCGGATGACAAGCATGTATATGTGCATATAAACGTGCACATATGTATGTGCATATATATAT